TTTATAAGTATACTGAGTTCCTGTGTAGGATTATAATGTGAAACTATTGCAAATTATTAAATTTTGTACAAATTTTGTAAATATGTTAGATATTTCCGAAGACTCGCCCAGCAGATTCATAAAGTATTAAGAAAATTCATTTTTTGAAATAAAACTTGTAGCGCATGGCATTGTGCCCGAAGGCAAATTGCTTTAACTTATGTTTAAATTACATCGCGTAATTTAAAATTTTTAAAAATTAAACAATTTTTGGAAAAAAATAACAAAGTTTTTGGTCTCATTCGATTCAGAATGGCTTAAAACGTCGAGAAAACATAAAATTAGCGAATCGGATTTTTTTATGAAAACATAAACTTCTCCTTCGGGAAGTTAATTATGCCTGATCAAAAATCGTACCCAGTCTCTCTCCAACTTTTATCCGGTGTACAAACTTGCGATCCGGCAGCAAACTTATTTTTACATGCAGTATTACCATGTTCAATATATATCACATTCCAATCATAAAGTACAAACGTAGAGAACATTCAAACACATAAATTGTCTAAAAGTTATTTATGCAAAATAGTTAAACCAATAACAGAGTTGCCTATGACATAACTCAGTGGAAAAACGTCAAAAACTTTGCTTTGGCGTAGTATAAATACAACTGAATGAATAATTAATAAATTTATCAATAAATAACGAACAGCTCTCAAATTGGTATCATATTAATCCGCGGTGAAAGCGCGCTTATGACGGCAGCCGGGATGGATTTCCATACATGTTCTCGAGTATTGCGCTAATCGTTATTTTAATTGTGAATGCAATTAAAAGTAGCAATTATCGAATTCAGTGCAGCCAAGCGCACTCACTGGTAATATTACCGATGAAACCGCCCGATAGGATTAACGAGAAAATATCATATTTTAGCCAAAGCCGGCGAAAACATATTAACATACTAATATAACATAACGCGAATAACCAAAGCAAATCGATTCGGGCCACTGGTTTGTTTAATTTTAATCCAATTCAATTTCAATTATATGCTTTTTGTATTTAAACGAATTAGACAATATAACGACAAATGACAAACTCACATTCGAAAGCACTGAAAGGAGTCACGGGAATAAAACTGTGAATTTAAAAATTAGTATATAAACTGACAACCTGACACATGATATTAAATTAAACTGGTGGTGATAGTAAATCTTGTTTCAAAAAGTTATGTTAAAGTTAAGTATATAGTATAATTTTGCAAATTTTCGAGGCAATTAAACATGATTTAAAAATTATTATTACTAAATGAAATAACTTAATATATGCTAAAATTATCAATGCATTATACCTTAGTATGCTTATAAAAACCTTTATAATATAATAATATTAACTAGTGGCATCGTGCCTTAAAGCAATTTGCTGGAACTTCCCGTACCGTAATGGAACATTGGAGAAATATTAAATGCTTTCAAATAGATTATTAAAAATACTGCAACATTTATTATTTGTATTTTATAAACAATATATAAGAGCTTATAAATCGGACGGAGACGTTTATACTCTTTTATTACGACTATTATATACGAATTTTATATTAAGTTTATTATAAATACTGTAACTTTCATTACTCGTATTTTATAGACAAAATATAAAAGCATATAAATTGAATGACAATATTCATATAAGTTAACATGAGAAGTAAAAAGAAAAAAACAAAATAATCAAGCGGAGTTGAAAAGAAAATTCTTATCTCATATATTTCTGAAAATTATATTTAAACGGAAATTATTTATTTTAAGTATATTAGACAACTTTAGAATTTTAGGTAGAATTGAAATTAAAATCGAAATTAAAATTAAAATTAAAATTTTTGACATTAAAAAAAGATTTTTTGGAAATGAAATCATTTTTATTAAATTTTGAAATTTAAAAAAAAATTGCCTTTCACAATACATAATCCTTTCTATCCCTATCAATAGAAATCGAATGTTTTTACCCTGAATGTAATCCTTGATTTGACCTTTACTTCATGTTTTTTCAAAACGACTAAAACCGATTTCAAAAATTAGCAGAAATGTGCTGTTTTTTTGTTTTGTACACTTAAATATCATACATTTTCAGAATGTTGAATAAAAACTGTTAAATTTATTTAATTTAGACAATAACAGGTATTATATGCTTGTTCTAGAGAATTATAAATTTTCAATGACAGAGAAATCTTAATTTCAGAAATAAAACAGTTGTTTTATTTAAATATCGGAATCTAAATTTTCAACTTCACGTAGGGTAAGTTATAGTAATAGCAAAAAATCAAAAATGAAAATTTTTATATCTCTTTACACTTTACACACTCAACATTTTGGCATACCTTAGAAAAAATGAATGTAGTATATATATATGTGTGTGTATGTGTTTAGACAATTTTTCGTCGACGATTTCGGGCGTACGGATTATTCGATTTGAATGATTCAAAAAAACATTCGATTCGTATTGATAAGATGACAAGCTTATAAGTTTTTGGCAAAGGCAGGTCTAGCCGTATCGAAAATACAGGACAAAAAAGCCAAAAATGGTAATTATAAAATAAAAATGGAATAAAAACATATTATTTTTATTGACAAAAATGAAGTATCGTTTAAATTTTTGCGAACGTCTAGTGGTTTCAGAGATCGAGCCAAAAAAGTAACAAAATATTGCCGTTTGGCGGCCAAAAATAATCTTTAGACAAATGCACGTCAAATTATCAGATATTTTACAAAGATTTTAAAAATAAGTATGAATTTTGTTTACTTTTCTATAGGTTTCATACTAATCCATATGCACATTTCTTCTCTAAAATAGCCATACAGCACGATTGCTTTGAACAAATATTCAACATTTTCAGAAAATTTCAAAGTATTTAAAAAAAATTGCAAAATATAAAAAAGGATTTTTTTAAAAAAGTCGATTTTATAAAAAAAATTCAAAATTTACAAAAATCTCATTCAAAGGTTTCAATAAATTTTAATTTTTTTTTTAAATTTTAATTTTCGGTACGGGAAGTTCCAGCCATTTGCCTTAAGGCACGATACCATGCACCACTAGTTATTGCTCAAGTCGATTTGTGCAACGTGAAGTTCATGCAACTTTCCGCCACTAAGAACTTGTTAATTATTAATAGGCACCTAAATTAGTGATAGAATAAACGAATATCTGCTATTTGGATTTCGAATATTTGTGACGTGTGCAGATAAAACAGTAAAAAATGGAAGTGATCAGAAAGTTTCGTGCACTTCGGGACATGAAGGATTCATGTTCAAGCGTTTGAACGCCTCGCGCGTGATTCCAAATGAGTCGCTTAAATACTTTGTTAGATGTGCATCGAGTGCATCGAGTGCACATAGTGCGGCACTTTGGATGTAAACTACCCATTTTAATGTGTCGTCGGTTGACGAACGAGATGCACGCGTTGGAACGCATAAGACCACACATTAAGCGACTCGTTAGAGACGGTCTTAAAGGTTTTGCAAGGAGGACACGTTGCAACAAATAGTACCAGATATACGCTGTTCTAGAATTTCCTAATTAATTGCATATCCAGATTTATACCCGTATTTTTATACGTACTATAAAATATAGGAAAACTTTATAATTTGAACTCGTGACCAAAAAAACTACACCGTACACACGATAATTGAAGGGAAATTTGATATCCACTATATATTTGAACACTCTTGTGGGTATGAAATAAATCGATCTTGGTGAAACCGGTATTAGTAGTAAGATTTATCATTGAAAATTTTGCATTTATTCAACTACATTTTGAAATCTTCCTAAAGTTATGTTTTTATTTTTATGAAATATATTCGCGCTTACTCATTTCAGCATGTTTTTGATTAAGTAAATTAAAAGTCGTTAAGAATTTTTTCAATTCGTTTGACAGTTTGCCCAAAATGATTTGGCACACTTAATTTTTCAAATTTAGTTGTTTTAATGACGTACTAGACACTTTGATAATGATTTTTATCTTGTTTCAATTTTAAATTATAATAGTATGCTGCAAGCACAAAAACAAATGTGCTATCAAAATTTTAGGTATAAAAATCTTTTAATTTTTTTTTAAATTTACAGTTAAAATATCGAGAAACAAAGTAAAGGTAAGCAAAATTCATTATTAGAATATTGTATTTTTACATAATGTATTTTAAAATTTAATGTTCAATTTTAATTTTAAAATATTTTTTCGAGTTTTAAAATTTGTGCCTAATCCAAATGTCATTCATCTGCTGCAAAGTTTTTTTTTTCGAAAAATAAAATTTCCGATTTTAATTTAACGGCAAAATATTTAATGGCGCACTATCATCTAATTTGATATGACTTTCAAACGTTTTAATTTAGTTAAAATATTCAGTGAATTTATTTCTCTTCATTACAACTTGATATGGATATGTTTTTATTCACATGTTTTTAATTTATCCGATATATACGAAATATTTATTAATTCAATCAATATGAATTTTCTAATGTAATTTTACTATTACATTATTTTATTATCAAACATCAATTATATTAATGAAATATCAATTAAAAGTAATTTAAAACTAGTGGTGCATGGCATCGTCCTTAAGGCAAATTGCTGAAATTCCCGTACTAAAAACTGAAGTTTTTAAAGAAACTTTTTTTTTCAAAACTTTGAGAAAACTAAATTTTTGTGAATTTTCAAAATTTTGAAAGAAATGACTTTTTAGAAAATTCGATTTTTTATGTTTTTGAATCATATTTCCACATACATACGCACACGCACACACACCCACACACATATATCAATTATTGCTAAGGTATGCCAAAATGTTCAAACCCCTTTGGAACGTAAAGATATATAAAAGTTTATTATCGACTTTTTGCGATTACTATAAGTTACCCTACAAGAAGTTAATAAAGTTTCGTATTATTTCAATTTTCATATTAAGTTATGATAATGGGATATAACAGAATTTGAAATAGTATTCCCATACGCTACTATAGTTCTCTTAACATTATTTTAGCAGTTCAGGCACAATGGTATCGAGACGCACAAGAAAGGAGGTGAAATCACAGTCGAGAAGTTCTACTACCCTGTCGGAAGTATTGTTTATTGAGGCAAAAAAAGTAAGTAAAAAATAAAATTAATATATACAAATAAATAGGGTGTATCAATACAAGTAAAATATATCCATTAAAACGAATAAATTAATAAAGTATGGTAGATATTAACTAAGACTAAGTAATTTAGAATATTATCAACGAATATTATAGTCATAAATAAATCTAGATTTCATTTACTACTCACTTAGGTTCCCACTTGAAATTATTGATAGCAATATGTTTTTAGGTGAAAATAGCCCTTACCTAGAAGCATTAATAAGTAATAAGTATGTAATGTTAGAAATTAATCATAAAAATAGGACAATGGTTTGGGTTGTCATCTACAAACGATGTTAAAAGTCAAAATTTATTACAACAGCTCATAGTACCCATAAGTTCTGATTTTAGTTCAAATAACACACATATATATATATATATATATATATATATATATATTATTTATATTATTTTTGCAGAAACGGGCTGCACGGAATAAGGGAATCCACAAGAAATATCGTCTATCGCCCGCATTAGCCAAATTAATAGGCAGTGACGAACCCGAAACACGTTACAATGTGGTCAAGTTGATCTGGATCCAGATCAAGGAGAGGAGACTTCAAGATCCTGAAGATCCTACCTACATCGATTGTGACGAGGAGTTCGAAAACGTAACCGGGATGGTGCGCCTGAAAGGATTTACGATAATCAAGCACCTCAACTCGCACTTTTTATCATAAATCTATAGCGACCGGCCAACCGACATCGCGCCTTAACTTCACAACATTATCCTTGGCTCATAATGTTGGCGCTAGGACAAAAGTGCAAGCTTTAGTATTCGAAACTTTCTGCTGCCAAAGCTCCAACATCGTAAATTACGTTACTTCTCCTTAATAATATGTACAGTATTAATATACAATTGGTTTCCTCAAACAGTTGATCTGAAATCAACTAATGCACTATATAATCGTATATGAAATAATGAATAAATGCATCACGGTGCAAAGAGGAAAAGCAGGTCCTCTTCGGAAACTTCAGAGTTTGCTTGATGCTTTTTATAAGTGCGTTATTGATAGTTTTTCATCTGAAAATTTGATAATGTCAAAGTCTCGGAATAAAAATATTAAAAATAAACCTGTCAATGGAATCGTTCAACCACCAGTTGTTCCATCAGACCGACCGGAAGGATTGACGAATCAACTTTTATTCCTATATAACCCTGTTTTAAAAGCTGTATATAATCATCGGTATGCTTGGCCCTTTCATCACCCTGTAGATGCGATAGAACAGAATTTAGCTGACTATCATTCTTATAAAAAATCCTATGGATCTAAACACAATAAAGAAGAGATTAGAAAATAATTATTATCGGACAGAAAAAGAGTGCATTCAAAACTTCAATTATGTGTTTTCAAATTGTTACATATATAATAATGCAACTGATGATGTTGTTCATGTTGCACAATATGTCGAAACATTATTTTTAACAAAGGTTTGTGAAATACCAAAAAAATGAAATAGAAGTAGAACGATCTTCATTAGAAATATGGAAACCTAAAGATTAAAGACAAGAGGAATCAGCTTAATAATATTTATTTATTTTGTTGCTTTTGTTCAAATATAAACAGTATTAGGTAAATTTTATTTTAATAGGATGAACACTGAATTTACATTGAATAAAATTTATTTTTTAAGTAGATTTGGTGATTTAATCAATCAATAATACCGATCTGTAGTTACTTTGAAATTCTTAATATCTTAGTTTTTAATCATATTTATTCCATATTATTAATCACATTTATTCCTTTTAAAAGACTGTTGTAATATTTATGTCAAGTTAAGTTTTGTGTATACATTTTTGTATTGTTACTAATGTCTTATTATAGTTGCATAGTTTTCTAAATTTTGTCTACGTGAGATCGACGCAAATATTGAGAGCAAACAGAAATCAAGCGAAATATCTGACATGTACATTCTACGTGGCTAAATAAAATCTCAGTTAGTGTCAACTGTCTTGTTTGTTTTGCACGCTGACACATCTTATTGTAAGATGATATGACGAATTATCAAACGGCATGCAATATTGAATAAAATTTTCAAAACATTTTGACTGACTTCTTTAATACGATAATATAATATTGCTATGTAAAGAATCAGAGAAAACGACATTAGAATATTCAATTTCTAAGGCGTCGAAGTTTTCTATATTAAAATTTAGAGTTAAGTTATTTCTATCTCTAAGAGATGTAAGCGTTAGATTTCTGTATATGGAATCAGCGCGTATTTTCTTACTCAACAAAATGTTAAGTAATAGAATTTAGGAACTTTTCATTGTAAATTGACGAGTTTTATCTAAAATGCCATGCTTGTGCGCATGAAAATGATTTACATAAAAATAAAACTGCTTAATTGTGCAATATTCGGATTCTTGGGAATATATGTTTATAACCATAATGTTTACAAAACTACATAATTATTCAGATATTCATGTTTTTGTAATCTCGTTCTATACATCCCACTGTTACTGCAATGTACTAAACTTGATCACATCACGATATTTTGCATACAATGAATCGCTAACAAAAATGATCGTGTCATTCGAAACTCAATATTTCACATCAGTAAACGTGAACATTAGAATTAGTTACTAAATCGTATAAGAAAGATAAAAGCTCTAATTTTTGTAAGTGTTGTAATAAAGTAGCACGATGCTAATGCATAAAACACATCGAGATAATAAGTGAAAAATATGGTTACCTTGTACATTTCATGTTAAATTTTTCGTGATATGTTAACAACTTTTGCATTTCAATTTGATGCAAAGCCAACCTATTTTGTTCGACTCAACTTGAATTGTGAGTATAAATTAAGATTGTTTTCAAATAATTTGACGGATTTAGTGACTCCTGCATTCATTTTACCGAAACAGAAAAATATCTCAAAACTTTCATTTTTAATTTTGTTGTGATTACTTATTCTACTAAAATTAAATATGAATAACCACATGAAACAGTGTTCTCCTCCTCTAACAGTGAGTCTTTTATGGTGTTGCACCTAAACTATAATTCCCCTCCCACATGCAAAATATTTATCTTTGAAAAATGCTTTTACAGTTTATTTATACAACATAAAATTTGTTGTTAATAACTTCTTGAACTTGTTTGACAATTTGCCCAAAAAGATTTGGCATCCTGGATTTTATAAATTTAGTTGTTTTAATGACGTACTAAAAAAATTATTGTAATTTTCTCTTGTTTGAATTTTAAATTATAGTAGTATGCTGCTAGCACAAAAACAATTGTGCTATCAAAATTTTAATAAAAAATCTTCAAGTATGCTTTTTAAAATTTTGAGTAACGAAAACCGAAAAATAAACTAAATGTAAGTAAAATTCATTATAAGTATATTGTATTTTCACATAATGTATTTTGAAATTTAATTTTGATTTTTTAATTTTTTTTTTCGAGATTTCAATTTTGTGCTAAGGACAAATGTCATTTATGTGTTCAAAGTTTTTTTTTATCTTTGCAAAATAAAATATTTGATTTAATTTAATGATACTACAATGTACTGTCATCTAATTTGACTCGACACAAACATTTAAATTTAGTTTAAATGTTAAGTGAATTTATTTCTCTTCATCACAACTTGACACATATATTATTTAACTTATGTGTTTCATTTATCCGATTTATCTGAAATATTTGTTACTTTACCCGATATTAGTTTTCTAGAGAGAAACCAAAAGAAACCAAAAAGGTAATTGAGAAAATAAAATTAAGATTATCTAATAAAGATAGTGTCAATATAACTAAAATAACATCACAAAACCAAATCAGAAAAAAGTATGTTTAAAATAATACCAAAAAAAGAATATATTGAAAAATAAACCTAGATTTCAGTTACTTAGATAGCTCTTTGTTCTAGTTAGGTAGCTCTTTGCTAGAAGTATTAAAAAGTAATAATTGAAAATTCATCACAAAAATAGGTCGACTTTTTGGTTGTTATCTATAAACGTTGTTAAAAGTCAAAATTTATTACAACAGATCATATTACCCATAAGTTCTGCTCTTTGTTCAAATAACTATTATATATATATATATATATATATATATATATATATATATACAAAAATTAAGCTCAATAAACGGATTGGGCCATTAAGCTGTACGGAGTTGGCCAATCTTTGTCTTGAAATATTCGTACTAATCTATGATTGTGCAAAATATGAGAAATTGCTTTAAAATCGCGTAGAAACTTTACATTTAAAGTTTTGTATAAAAGCGTAATTTAAATGAAACAGTGAAAGAGCACATATGTCAACAAATGATTTTACGGATTATGTTCAATTAAATTTTACATATTTTTATAGTTGGTTGTTTCATGAGTGTTATGCACTGTATGCTGTTTGGTTTTTACAGCATAATTACTACTGATATGCTTGAAGCTTGTATCATATATTGCGATGGTGAATGAGATATTTTACGTAAAAATGCATCTAATACAGCTCAACAAACAATCAAGAATGATACAATCGCTATTTTTTATTGATAGATAAATGCAATAAAATCACATTTATATTTAGATTTTTATTAACACTATGCCGTCCGGCGACACCACAGTGGTGTCGAGCGCGAACTAGCGCTTAACAGCCGGCGACACCACAGTGGTGTCATGAGCACAGTATCTTCCTTTGGCCAGTGGCAGAAATCTTTCCATCCTGTTGGTGTTTTAATTTAGATAACAAAAAGTTACACCCTTCAACATTAGTAAGAACTAAAAATTTATAATTTTTCGATAATATTCAGAATGGGCGGGAACAAGCAAAGTGATAACGAATTAGCACTACCGGCGCCAAGCGAATAAATTTTTACAAGACGTGCGGACGGCAAAGTGTTAATACGCATAACATAGCAACGCGTGACCGGGCACCAATAGTAATATATAAAAATCTTGAATACCAAAATGCTCCAATTCAATTTAAATGAAATCAGTTTCAGATTAGGATGGCACTTGCAATGATTAGTAATAAGCCCTAAGAGCGTTTATATGTAGCATGGGTTGCAGTGGGTAAACCATCCATTTAATTTGTATTAATTGCTTCTTTCATCACACACTTCTACATTCATTATCAATAGGTTAGTTGTTTTTTATAATAAAGATTTTCCAGAAATATTTTTTATGGCTAAACAACGTTTGCCTGGCCAGCACACACATATATATATATATATATATATATATATATATATATATTTAAATTATTATTTTTGCAGAAATAAGCGACAACGAATACCAAAATTCATAAACATTGGCCAAATTAATTGATAGTGATGAACCTGAAACACGGTATAATGTAGTCAAGTTGATCTGGGTTCAGATCAAGGAGCGGAAACTTCAAGATCCTGAAGATCCTGCATCATAATCATGAAGCACCTCAACTTCCACTTTTTGGCATAGATTATACTAACAGCACATGTTCAGTCTAATGACAACAAACTTATATTAATAACCCTTTTCATTCTGTTGTCAAAGTTGATGCGAAGTTGTTGACTCGTCATATACATCAACGGCCCGGAGTGCAAAGGGTTAACTTGGAATCTTTTTGTGTCCATTATTATACTAATTGAAAAAAAAACTGAACATGAAACTGATCTAATTTATGTTATAAAATATTGACATTGATATTGAATAAATTTAACTTTCTGAAATTGGAGTATGTTTTCACAAAAAATCCGATAAT